GCGCGGGGCGGGCGCCCCTCGTCAACCCGCCGGAAACGTGGGGCGACGACGCGACCCCCGCCCGCTGCGGCGGCCCCGCTCACTCACCGCCCATCCTCCTGCTCGGCCAGCTGCAGCCTCCACCCCAGACCACAGTCCCCTCCTCGCTCCGCGCCTCCTCTGACGCACTTCCCTGCGGGGCCCGCCCCCTCCGTAACTCCCGCGCCTCCGCCTCCGCGCCGGCCCGGCCCGAGTCCGGGGCCGCGGGGGCTTCTGGGAGTTGTAGGAGCGCAGCGGAGAGTGCGGCGGGAGCCCCAGGTTGGCATGCCCAGGGTCTCGCGCGATGCATTGTGGGGGATGTGGTTCTGTCCGGGAGACCAGCCCGTGAGCGTACAGGGTTGCGGACGCCAGCCTTCTGGCTTTCCGAGAAAGAGTCGGGGGTCCTAGGGTACAGCGACCTGTCCTGCGTCACAGTCGGTTAGTGATTGTGACCTCTCCCCATCACGCTGCCCTGCTTCTAAATATGCCCATAAGCGAACAGGTATGCAAATTCATGTGAAGGCTATCCTATGGAAATATTACCCTTAGTCTTCCTCTCCCCCAGCTCCATTTCCACTGGAGCAGATAGTCTTTCTGGTCTTCTTGTTAAAATTTAGACAGAGAGGGACGTGATCCAACGGATTGTATCCATGTAGAAGGTGATATTATTTGAGCTTCATATAGTTTATCTTTCTAGCTTGCCTTCTCTTTAAGGCAGTGGTTCTAAACCTTCCTAATGCCTGGACCCTTGAATACAGTTCCTCCTGTTGTGGTGACCCCCCAACCATAAAAGTATTTTCGTTGCTACTTGATAACTGTAATTTTGCTACTGTTATTGTTAGGTAGACTAGTGTAGAGTGGGGGAATGTCCGTTAAAGCATGCCCAGAGGACCGAGTGGGACACTGCACATGCCCAGAGGCTCAGGTTTGGGTTGGCGTGAACCTAACGTGGCCCACCCAGGCCAGGTGAATTCAATTCAGCCAATGGGGTCGATCAGGGGTCGTCCACCACGCCTCCCGTGGAATCCTTGAAAAGGCAGAAGCCCAGAGTTGAGCCGGAGAGAGAGAACTTTGGTGCAGAGAGCTTTGGCAGGATTTTGGGACACTTTTGCATGACGCCCAGCAGCTTCCAGCCAGGCCGCATGTTCGGGAGGAGCCCCACGAGTGCCGTGTAAACCTGAAACTTCTAACTTTCGTAAAACTCACTTGGATCACGAACCAGTTTTCTGTGTGAATTCTTTCATGCGTGGAGCCAAGGACCGAGGTATATCTAGCTACAGAGAGATCTAACATTGTGAATCGGGTGACCCCTGTGAAAAGGTCATTCGGACCTCCGAATGGGTCGCGACCCACAGGTTGAGAACTAGTACTTTAAGGCAAGTGATAATCAGATCTCCATTTCCTGAAGTAATATGACGTTTACTTTTAAAATTCAGATCTATTAAAGACTACTGACAATGATCGTGTTGTAAGTATGTCAAAATATGAATAACATTAATGTAGTGTGCAAAACAATGCAAATGAGGTTATGGGAAGTGTCAGAGATTAGAGGTGACTAGTGCCATGAGTGAAGGAGCCCGGGTGGCTGTGGATGTTACATTGGGCTGTTAATCTCAAGGTCAGCAGTTCAAAACCACCATCTGCTCTTGTGGAGCAAGATGAGGCTACCAACTCCTATAAAGATTTACATCCTCTGAAACCCAAAAGGGCAGTTCTACTCTGCCCTATAGGGTCACTCTGAGTCAGAACCAACTCATTGGCAGCAAGTTGAGTTTGTATGACATAAGCTGGAGTCAACCTCAAGGCAGTTGGTTTCAGTAGGGCTGGTCTCAGGAGCCCTGATGGCACAGTGGTTAAGTGAACCTCTGCCAGCCAAACAAAAAGGTCAGTAGTTCGAGCCTACCAGTCATTCATTCCATGGAAGGAAAATGTGACCATCACTTTCATAAAGATTTATAAGCTTGGAAATCTTCAAGGCAATGCTACTCTGACCTCTTGACTTCCCATAATTTGCTTCAGTGCTAGAATTCTCACCTTCCATGCAGAAGACCAGAATTCCATCCTGGACAATACACCTAGTGTGCAGCCCCTATCTTCCAGCAGAAGTTTGTGTTGCTATGACCTGAATAGATTTTTGCAGAGCTTCCCAACTAAGACAGACTAGGAGGACAGGCGTGGATATCTATAAAAACCCTATGAATCACAATAGTATGATCCCACTGTGTACTGAATCAAGGACCAACTCGACAGCTAACAACAATAAGTGAAACAGAGGAAGCCAAATGGTCCTGAACTCTCAAGTATTGCACAAGAATTCTTACCAGTGGCATGGCTCAGTACCAGCCAGTGAGTTTTCTCAATAGATACTTACAGGGGCAGCAAACTCAAAAAGCCAGAGGAGCTCGTCCCTTCCCACCAATCTCCAAAAGCTTTAGACTTTAGCTATTGCATAGGAGAAAAGTGGAAAATCCAAATGAACTCTTTAAAATCTGTATTATTTTCTCATTTTAAATTTGGTTGCAACCACTTGTTTTCAGTAATGGGATACATTTTGAATGTGATGAAAAAACATTTTTAAGGTACAAGGATTTTTATACAATTAGTGGGACATATATGTCCCAAAAGGTCTTTTGTGCTATGAGGCTCATTTCTTCAGATTCACAGTTATGCAGTCTGTCATCAAATGGCAGCCTGCACTGAAAGGATCTTCTCACTAAGCCCCAGAGGCAGAATATGTAGGTGGGGCACTCTGTCCAACTGGTCACAAAAGGGTTAAATTCCTGATAGATGGAAGGTATAATCTATCCATTTTTCTATCTACAGTTAAAGTTTTTCACCTGACTTGTTAAAGTGGCTTTCATTTCCAGTACATATATAACAGAAGGCAATAATCAAGTGTCTCAGGATATTCAAACATGCCTAACGAATGTTCCTCTCCACAGTATCCAAAGTGGAATTTTCTTCAGGGTATCAGCTAAAACTGCCCAGCAAATGGTTCTTGTGAACTAGCATGCCTGAGTGCATTTACCTTTCATTCATTGACCTTACTTCGAAATTCTGTCTCTTGGAGTAGACAACTCCACCAATAAATGGGCAAACAAACCTAGATAAAATGGAAGTTCAAAAGAGGAAGATAAAGAAATAACATCAGATAAAAAGAACCTGGCCTGTAGAGGGTAACCTTCTGGCCAAGCTTAAATAAAGTGAATTTACTAGCTTCATGACTTTGGGCAATTTCCTTACCCAGTTTTCTTGTCTCCAGTATATGAATGTTGACAACAGCACTGATCTCATATGATCATTGTGAATTTTTAAGAAGACCGTATATATTCAATGCCCACCACAGGACTGGAGGCAGAGTAGAACTCAAACTCACTCTGACTGCCATCCAGTCAATTCTGACTCAGAGCGAGCCTGTAGGACAGGGTAGAACTGCCCCTGTGGGTTTCTGAAACGGAAACTCTGCACACAGATCGAAAACCTGAGGCAGAGGAAATAGCCTCTCAAGTATTAGTCTTTGAAAATATTTGTTGAGTGCCTATAATCTGTGTATCCTGTAGGGAACAAATGAACAGCATTCAACACTTCCTGATTCCCCTGGAGACTAGAAATTAGTCACTTACTGGAGTAGGTCCCAAAGCACCTTTGAGCAGATTTCCAAACCTCTGGATCAAGTGGAGAATGAGTCCAAAACATTGGGCCTCCACTCAAGCCCTCCCTCAACTTAAGAACACTTTGTTCTCATAACCAAGCATTCTTTGATGCTCACCTTCCCGACATGATTGCTGAAGACAAAGTGGGTATATAAACAAATATGGTGAAGAAGGCTGATGGTGCCCAGCTAACAAAAGATATAGCATCTGGGGTCTTAAAGGCTTGAAGATAATAAACAAGCGTCCATCTAGCTGAGAAGCAACAAAGTCCACATGAAAGAAGCACACCAGCCTGTGTGATCATGAGGTGTCAATAGGATCAGGTATCAGGCATCAAAGACCTAGAACAAAATATCATATCAATGTGAATGAGCAGGAGTGCAGAATGGAGACCCAAAGCCCATCCATAGACTATTGGGCATCCCCTTATCCCCTTACAGAAGGGTCACAAGGAAGAGACTAGCCAGGGAGCAGTCAGGGTGCAGTATAGCACCGATGAAACATACAACTTTCCTCTAGTTCAACCTTCCTAATGCACTGACCCTTTAATACAGTTCCTCATGTTGTGGTGAACCCTCAACCATAAAATTATTTTCATTGCTATTTCATCACTGTAATTTTTCTACTGTTAGGAATCGGGTGACCCCTATGAAAGGGTTGTTCCACCCCCAAAGGCGTTGTGACCCACAGGTTGAGAACCGCTGCTCTAGCTCTTTAATGCTTCCTCCCACCCCCAACCCACTATCATGACCCCAATTCTACCTTAAAAATCTGGCTAGCCCAGAGCATGTACATGGGTACAGATAAGAGCTGAAAACACAGGGAAACCAAGACGGATAAACCCCTCAGGACCAATAATGAGAGTGGCAATACCAGGAGGGGATGGGGAAGGTGGGAAGAGACAGGGAAACTAATCACAATGATCTACATATAACCCTCTCCCAGAGAGAGAGAACAGAAAAGTGGGTGAAGGGATACATCGGTCAGTGTAAAACATGAAAAAATAGTAATCATTTATAAATTATCAAGGGTTCATGAGGGAGGGAGCATGGGGAATGGAGGGGAATAAATTAGGTGCTGATACCAAGAGTTCCAAGTAGAAAGAAAATATTTTGAAAATGGTGATAGCAACCTATGTATAAATGTGCTTGACACAATGGATGGATGGATGGATTTTGATAAGAGCTGTATGAGCCCCCAATAAAATGATTTTTTCAAAAAGAATGAGTCCAAAAGACTTGCCAGCCCCTGAATTTCAGGCATCATTGCTCAGTCCTGCTGGAGCGATGTGAAGGCCTGGGTTCTTCTTATCTGGTACTAGGCAGTAAGCCTCAGGATGGCAGTGCCTGGACAGAATCTCAAGGGAGGGTGATGCCTTTACTGTCGAGTTTAGAAAATGCCAAGAAAACCTCAGGACTCGTTTCAACTCACCAACATAATATGGACCTAGAAGTGTGTCTCAGACTCACCCTCTCAGCACAGAGGACCCCAGTGGGCTCATCCCAGCCAGTTCCACTGGGCTCACAGACACATTTCTAATGTATCATGCATGTCACTGTTTTCTAATTCCTAATCATACTTGTTTGCAGAGTGGGGGTTACAGTTAGAACCATTTCAACAGGAATGGGTTTGGGTTTTTTGTTTAATCTTTACAGAAGCAGATGATCAAGCCATTTTTGTTTTGTTTTTCTCCCAAGCCTTTCTTTTGGGGAGCTGCTGAATAGATTCTACCCAGCAACCTTAGGCTAGTCCTCAAGTACATGCCAGGTGTGCAGGCCAAGGACCGACATCATGTAAATGATCAAGTGAAAACTGGACAGGAAAGTACATCTCTAACAAATGAATATGCGCACGTATCACACCTTGTCTGGCTGATAAGGTTAGTGGGAAACAGCTTGCTTCCTGCTCATTTCCTGGCACATCAGAACAGAAGCCCATACTCGGGGATTTCTCTTTGCCGTGTCTCATACTCTGATCCATTGCCTCTTGGCAGGGGGCCAGAGGAGTTGATATGAAAAAAGCAGAAGTGCTAGATGATAATGCCAGGGTCACAACCTAATTGGAATGGCTCTTTGCAAACCGTGTTAAAAGCTACAAGGTCACTTCAGCCTGTGAAGCCAAGAGGCTGCAAACTGCAACTACAGACCTATGTTACTGTTGTTAGGTGCCGTGCAGGACAGAACGAAACATGGGACAGGCCTAGGCCATCCTCACACTTGCTCCAGTGTCTGAGCCCATTGTTGCAGCACTGTGTCAGTCTGTCTACTCGTGGGCCTGCCTCTGTTTCGCTGTCCCTCCACTCTATCAAACATGATGTCCTTCTCCAGAACCGGGTCTCTCCTGACAACATGTCCAAAGTTTATAGGACGAAGTCTTGCTGCCCTTGCCTCTAAGGAGCACTCTGGCCCTCTAAAGGGTGATAGTTGATTTACTTGACCAGATGTCTTAGTAGAAAAGACATCATTTGCCTAATTTTCGGCATCGAAGCCATTTCTGAAGCTATCTCAGGAACTGGAAAACAGAAAAAGAGGTTTTGTCTTTTTGTTTCTGTTTTTTTTTTTTTCGTGTTTGGGTTGTAATTGATTTTTTTTAAATATCAATGTCTTATTCCTTTTTTTGTTATCATTATTTATTCTGCTTTATGATATGTGTCCTTGGCTATTTTATTGTTATTATCCCCATATTTATTTCAAGGCGCTTCAAAGTTCTGAAAATGACTTTGGTACCCAGCTTAGTTGCTAGTGGTGTGACCTTTGTTACTTTACCTTGTCAGCTTCTGGAGTTCAGTCTTCGGATAGCATTGTGCCCTTTGGATTGCGAAAGGCCTATGACTATGCTAGGTGTTCCTTTGGGGGGCGGCGGGCATAGCCATTGAAGTGTTTTTTTCTAAATTCTGCTCCAAGATGCTAATGATTTGTGATGGGTAGTCTCATACGATAGCATTCTACCACTAAGTAGCATATTCTGAAATTGACCATACATGATAAAGCAAACCTGCTTCAACAGCTTGCCGAGGCAGTCCGATTTACTTCACAGACATGCAACTTGAAAGTGCAAAGAAAATTTGAATTCTACAGAATAAATGTATGACTCAATGTTTTCCTCTAGAGGGTGAACTCTTTTCCTTTATATTATATTTGGATGCTTAATTCTTGAGTCATATCTAAAAGTATTTTTGCTTCATTTTTAACATCTTAGACCCAGAATTCATCTTGTTTTCTCAAATGCCCAAAGAACTTCTAGTTACAAGGTCAAAAATTCCAATATTTCGATTAAATGCATATATATATATATGAAATGAAACAAAACCATCCAGTCATTTCCCATTCATAGAAATCCTAAAGACTACAAATCCTTACAGGAACAAGCAGGCTCCTTTTCCCCTCAGAGTAGCTGGTGGGTTGGGGCTGAATGGAGGACCTTGCAGTTAGTGACCCAAAGTCTAATCCCCAGCACCACCAGGTCAATCTCTCTCTCTCTCTCTCTCCATACACACACATACACATAAATATGTAGCATTTAAATAGGCTACATTTACCCACGAATCCTTTTCAAGTATATATTCTTCAAACTATTTAACAAAATGAATTGTTCATGAATATTAAGTCTTACCCAATAGGATAGATTTATCTCCCAGAAATATCAAATCTGTGAATTAGTAGCTCTCATCCGCTGCCCACATTTATTAGGGAAGCACATGTCACTCAGGAGCTAAATGAGCAACCAGAAACCCGGAGGAAGATAGGCTCAGACCTCTACATCAACCCCTAAAGTGACTTCCTAGAGCCACCATTGATCAGGGGACCCCTTCTTCCATGACCAGACCCACATTCCTGAGGCTAAGGGGCATTGGAGTAGAGAAGGGAGGACCATTCTTCTGACTATATCAATTACTCAAAGAATTCAACTCACTGCCATCAAGTAGATTCTGACTTGTAGCCACCAATAGGACAGGAGAGAACTGTGCCTGTGAGTTCCGGAGGCTGTAAATCTGTACAGAAGCACAAAGCCTCATCTTTTTCCTGCAGAGTGGCTAGTGGGTTCTAACCGCTGATCTTGTGATCTTGTGTCCAATACATAACCCGCTGTGCCAGCAGGGCCCCTTATATCAATTGTAGAAGACATAGAAACTGAGGAGGACTTCACAAGCTTAACAGTTTTATTTATCTACAAACATGCAATCATTTATGCAAACCTAATGTCTATTGAAAGTACAATTTAAGAGAATAAATGAAAAAGGAGGGAGGGGGAGGAGAGAGTGAGACTCTTGACCTAATTCTGCGAGTAAAGAAATATCTGAAGAAACCAGTTTCAAAATTTATCATGTTTTACTATTGCCCTCCTAATTTAAAAAGGAAACAAAAAAGAGAAATATATATAGTATTTCTTCTATTTTAAGCTGTTTCTGAGAGTTCTGATTGAATCAGAAAACTCCCTTGTTATAAGTGCCTGCCCTGGCAACTTCACTGTGGCATCCTGAAGCATAGGTATGCCTTCTGCCAGATCAATAATTTCAAAAGCAAATTGCACAGGTATACAGAAATACTTAGACAAAAAAATCATGGGTCAAAAGCTGAAAAGTCACTGCTGTAAAGGGAAAAAAATCAGATTGAATTTAGAAGGATAGTCTGGGGAGGGAGACTCTCTCTAATGATTCATTAACAACCTGTGATATGCAGAGGACACAATCTTGCTTTCCCCAAATGAAGCCTTAAAAAGTGCTTATTGATGAAGCTAATAGGCTGTGGTCTTCAATATGGATTGCACCTGAACCTGAAGAACATAAAGCTCCTCATAAACTGGACCCATAAATGACATGATAATGGAAGAAGAGATCAAGTTGTCAAGGATTTTATGTTATTTGTACTGACAATCTCCTCCCACGGACGCAACAACCCCAAAATCAAATGATGTAATTCAGTGGGGAAATTTGCTAGACAAGACCATAGACATTGTAGCAAAGCTGTCTCTTTGATGACTAAGGTACACCTGCCCAAGCCAGGGACTTTTCAATCTCCTATACATGCCAAAGCTGGACAATGAAAAATACCAAAGAAGAAATGATGTTTGCACAGAATGTGGAACATGCCATGGAGTGCCAAAGAACGAGTAAGCCAGTTTGGGAGGAAGTGCAGCGAGAATGCTCTTAGAAGCAAGGACCATCAGATTGCATCTCCTTTACATTGAACGTGTCATCATGTGGATCCAATCCCTAGAGAAGGACATGTTTTGACTCCACTCCCTGGAGAAAGACAAGCAACAAGTCAATGAAAATGATTTTGACACGGAGGCTTCAACAATGAGATCACATGATGATAGTGAGCATGGTAGGCATGTTTTGTTCTCTTGTACGTAAGACCACTCACTGTAAGTTGAAGCCAACTCTGTAGCACCGAGCACCAACACTAGCAACAGGGGAGAAGACGCTAAGAGGGATCTCCTAATCAAGGGTGTTACCTCGTATCAAAAGGTGAATTCACTGCCCTGATTACAATAGTGAATACGAGGGCAAAGCTTGTGATTTTTAAACCTGTGTTTGTAAGCTATCTAAATAACAAGGATGCCTGCAGTTACACCCTACTGGATTCATCCCAATTTAGTGGCACTGAATCAAAAACCAAGATTTTTCTGCAGCAAATATACTAAGATTTCCAAAGAAATCTATGTGTATGTCCCTGTACTAGGAGTAATGAGAAGTTTAAAAGCTTCAATTACAGGATGTTGTCTCAGCCTTCTGTGGATCTAAAAATACTGCATTGAGTGAGGCAGGATCAATTGTATATGAGTGGGGTAGGGGACACAAAAACAAATATGGGAAGAATGTTATGTCCTAATTGGAATCTTTACGTTTGTCACAGATGTGAACTAGTGTACTTTTAGAAGCTTTCATTCTCTCTTTTTGCAATGAAAGATCAGCTTCCTTTGTATTTTCACCAAAGATATACAAGTAAATGAAAAGCGTATGGTCATCACTATTCCATTACAGTTAAAGAAATACAACCACACTCAGAATATGAAACAGAAGGCAAGATCAATGAAAGGCTGGTGTCAGGAGAAAAAAAAAACCAAAGACAGCAGCAACCAAAACGTATTTAAAGTAGGAAAGGCAAGAAAGAAATCAATTCATTTTCCAATTTCTGCACTTAAAAGAAACAAACTGGGTATCTTGAAGAAAGAAGTTGAAAAGCACCTCAATTTCAAGGGCAAATGCAAATTAAGAAAACCACAACCACAACCAACCAACACCAATCAGAGTGGGGTTCCCTGGAGGGCCCCTCTAGGATTGGTAGAAACTGCCGTTCTAGATGTATGTTTTTGCGTTTGTGCCAAGACCTTTAAAGGGAGGAGAAGGAAGAGGGGAGAGAGAGACACATTGTGCAAAAGAAGCTGCCTGGAGATTTCTAAAATTCCTACACAAATCTCATAGGTAAAGCAACCTGCCAGATTTGGCCTGGGATCATTAACGATGGAGCCAGAGGCAACCTTCACTTTTTTGGATTACTCCTATGCTACAAGCCCAATTCCTGATCGTGAGGATGCCCCGTCCCAGGTTCCTTTCACAGCTGTCTTGCTGCCCATCTTATATACCGTAGTGTTCTTGACTGGAGTGTTGGGGAACCTCGTCCTCATTGGTGCTTTGCATTTCAAACGGGGGAGCAGACGACTGATTGACATCTTCATCATCAACCTGGCTGCCTCCGACTTCATTTTCCTCATCACGCTGCCTCTCTGGGTGGATAAAGAAGCATCTTTAGGACTGTGGAGGACAGGCTCTTTCCTGTGCAAGGGCAGCTCCTACCTGATCTCGGTCAACATGCACTGCAGTGTCTTCCTGCTCACCTGCATGAGCATTGACCGCTACCTGGCCATCATGTGCCCAGTCGCGTCCAGGAGATTCAGAAGGAGAGACTGTGCCTATGGAGTGTGTGCCATCATCTGGTTCATCTCCTGCCTCCTGGGACTGCCGACTCTTCTGTCCAGGGAGCTTACCCTGATTGATGATAAGCTACAATGTGCAGAAAAAGAAGCCACTTCAACTAAACTGACCTGGGCCTTGGTGGCCTTAATTTTCACTTTTTTTGCCCCGCTGCTGAGCATTGTGACCTGCTACTGCTGCATTACAAGGAAACTGTGTGCCCATTACCATCGGTCAGGGCAACACACCCGAAAGCTGAGGAAATCCATAAAGATCATCTCTATTGTAGTGATCGCCTTCGTCTGCTCCTGGCTGCCCTTTAATATTTTCAAGCTCATGGCCATTGTGGCTAAGTTACAGAAAGGGTTCTACATTTCTTCAGCCATTCTCCAGCTGGGCATGCAGGTGAGTGGACCCCTGGCATTCACCAACAGCTGTGTCAACCCTTTCATCTACTATATCTTTGACAGCTACATCCACCGGGCCATTGTGCACTGCCTGTGTCCCTGTCTGAAGAACTCTGATGTGGGGAGCGGCACAGAGACCTCAGAGAGTCACCTCACTAAGGCTTTTTCCCACTTCGTTCACACGGAGGATTTTGCTAGAAGAAGGAAGAGATCCGTGTCCCTCTGAGGGTGGGTTGGGGAATTTCTTTATGTCAGCAACAAAGAAGAAAAGGATTGATGATGGGAGTCATATTGTTTACAAAATACAAGGAAGACTTCTTTTTTTTTTTTTTTAAAGAAAGGGCCCCTATGTGAATATAATTAAGCTGTGTTCTGTTTGGGGTTGGGTTTTTTGTTTGGTCTTTTTGGTTAAGGGATCTAATTTGACTTTTGCCAATTAGGTTTATCAGGCAAAATATGATACAGATCTATCCTTTGGTGCTTAGACAAAGTGCCCTGCCTGGATAAATTGCTTGCTTGATGATTGCCAATACACATCCCGGCCTTTTTCTCTCAAGAACCTGGTCCCTGGGTGCACACCACCACCACTTTTCATAACTGGGTTTCAAATTGAACAACAAGGAAAGGACGCTGTCACCCAACATTATCTTTCACCTGATACCCATTCCCAATGCTTTGGACTGGCAAAAAGCTCCTGGGGACAAGGACATTTTGTACTGTGCTTATGATGTGGAGTTTATTCTACCGCCTGCTATTCTATATGTTCTTAACCAGTCAACAGAAGGCAAGGCTTGACCTTTATTTGCCTTATAAGATATAATGGTTGAAATGTATTTTATTTACTAGGGTAGTAACTGCTTTTTAATGGGGTTTTACTATGCTCTTTTGTTTACATTGTGTTTATAAATTAGTATATGACTCCACTTTAATTACGTTTTTAATTACTCAGTTAACTACTTATCAAATGAAACTATTACTACTAAGCTAATTAGAGACCATCAAACGTTTCGCTCCACCCCCCTGTGAATTTAGCCTTGTGCATTTTAATTAAAATGCTAATGTTACACATTCTCTACATCATTTGTTCTGTGTGTAAAATTTTGAGAAGTGATTCAGTAATATAGGAAAAAATCATTATGTATTCAGCCCCAGAGAAATCAATAATGAGACTTCTCACTTTTCCAAACCCAGAGACTTTTCTGAATTCATTCACCGAATAAATACTGATTTTGTCAATTTGGACCCATATCTCTCTTAAAAGCTCAGAACCAGGAAAACATGGACTTAGCAGCAACCACAAAAGGCTTTGCATTAACAAACATACTGCTGTAAGCATCTTTCAATTCAAAAGAAAGTGGGCGATGTACATGTGGTTTTCCCCCAGGGATGGCCAAAAGGCACTATCGCTGTATTTATATTAAATGTGAAAACCAAAGAAAACTTCGAATCTTTTGAGAGCCAGCTAAATTTCATTAACATCACAGTAAGAGAAATCTCAGATATTGAACATCTTCTGGTATTGTCATCTAAAAACGAAGCCCACTGCCCACAAGTTGATTCTCAGGCACAGCGACATGGTAGAACTGCCCCCATGGAGTTCCCAAGGCCGTAAATCTTTACAAGAGCGGACTGCCTCATCTTTCCTCTGCGAAGCCACTGGCAAGTTTGAACTGCTGGCCCTTTGGTTAGCAACCAAACGGATAACCTATAAAATACAGCTTTGGTTTTATAAGTTGGATAATTTCTCAATCATGTACTAAAAATTATATCATTTCCTTACACATTTTGAGTATTATTCTGTATTATAAAACTACCACTAATACTCTAATAGCATATTAATAAATAACTATGGTTGCAGAGCGAACAAATGAGGTGTTTTGGAAAACTTCAAAACTAATTTCAAAGTAATTGAATAGATATCCACAGTTTAAAACAAAAACACAAAGCAGAAGATGGAAGGTGTGTACTTCTTTAAAACAAATCAACAAAAGCATTACTGTCAGTCATATAGCCATCGTCTTTGAGAAATTCAACCTAAATAATACCTAAACTGAATATATAAGTCAATTAAATTTCTATGACTAATTATGTTGTTTAAAAATGCCCAGATTAGAATGTCAAATGATACTTAAGTATTCTCATTTAGCAATGAGTTAATTGTCTATTTTACCATTTTGTCCCTTTGGTTTTCACTGTGAATTCTTAAATTAGCATGCAAATATACGTATTATTGACCTTTGTAATATTTAAAATTGATGTGATAATTTTGTGCCTTAAGAAAACCTTAGAAAATTTTATATGATATAGATGTTATATGTATATTTTATATCACAGTTTTCTAATGATTGATACAATTTTAGAGCTATGATAAAAATATATAATAACTTGACCACGTTGGTGTGTAACATTTTCTGCTGGTATGCTCATACAGTATATCATTGAAGCATTTATATCAATTATTTGGGTCTGTCTAATATTTTTTATAATAACAATACAAGTAAGCAAGTAAGCATCATAAAGCTTGGGCAAATGGAATTTTTAAAAATGGGATTTTCCACAAAGTTATTGACGTCCTCTCTTCTTTTAATATGAAGTTTCTGTTTATATACATACATAGAAACATATGTGTGGAAACAAGCATACATTTGAAAATTTTAATGATTTTTCATATCTACATTAAATTACCCTAAGGATTACTTTATAATAATTTTAGAATAACCATGGAGTTTTTATGAGTTGGAATGAACTGAAGAGAAACTCAATTTTTTAAATCTTATTTTGTGTTATTTTTTAATAGAGAAAAATTAATGCACATTGCCAAGAATTTCCAGAAAGGGGAATGTTAGTCTAGGATACAATCTGAATACTATCATCCTCTCTGGTTATGCCCTAAATTAGAAGAAATTTTTAATCAAGAGTAAGTACCTAAAGAAATCACTGCAAATTAACACCCCTTGTCATTTGTTTAAATAGTCCAAAGCCACTACCAGGACTTTAATGAGGAATACGGAGGGATAGTAGGCTCTCAACCATTTCCCCCTAACTTTCCTTGAACTTACCACAGAAAAACTCTCCTATTAATCCCTGGATAAGATGTCTGATTATACAACTAATTAATAAAAGAGACTTTTTCAAAGACTTTGTTTCTGACAGATTTCCTCCATTTAGACCATATTGAGACGATTAACACTAACCTGACATCCCCAAGGTTCGTGCCATGTGTCCACGCTGCACCATCAAAAGCGCCTGTGCTGTAAGCATCAGCGACGATAACAGCTCCCAGGGAAGCTGTGTGCGTGACTGAGGGTCGAGTAGTACTAGAGGTCACAGGTTAATTTTAAGTAGATGTGGAAATACACGCTACGATGGTGAAGTGAGTGCAAGAAACCTTCCCTTTATGATTCATCTCTCCTCCTCAGAGCGCTCTCTGTTCTCCCCAGTGATCTCAGAAGAAAGAAATGAATTGGCAACTGTGTGGGCCACAGGTTTTATTTTCCCGCAGAGCTCATTCACAAAAGGCAGGCTACACTGAGAGAATTGCCAATGCACCGCAAGAAGAGCCACTGGTGGCGACCGCTCAGGAGTTGCCGGCCTCCTGCTCCCGGGACAGAGAAGGGCCATCAGAAGGAAAGCCGGAGGGTGGGGTGTGTGAGTATGAACAGTTAACCACACTCAGCGTCTAACGAAAGGTTAGGATCAGGTCCATGCACGCACACCTCAGAGAAAAGTCCCAGCGGTAATGCTTCCACAAAATCAGCCCAGGAAAACCCACCGGGGCACCGGTCCACTCTGACACTCTTAGGTAACCCTGCGTGCAACTAGCTGGTAATTCTAAGACACGGCCCTTGCAAACTACTACAACTTGCCTACCAAGGATCTTAGCATGAATGAGACTCTCCCTTAAAACTACCTGGTCTTATTTCAAGTGGGTTTGTTTTTTCCCAGTCAACATGTTTGTTTTGATCAATTTCAGGAGTAACAATTATGACTAGATTTTATATGCTAATGTAGAGAGTAATGAGCAACTGTCTTTCCAGTGCCCTCATGTTATGTTACAGATGTAAAAATTCACTGTAGGAGACATTGCCTTTGCAACCTTCTTGTTATCTTTTTTACTTCCTTAATAACAATGATCTTCTAAACTTACTTGGTTAGTGGAAATTACATCTAATCATAATATAAACCTGCTACATCATAAAAAAATAAAAACAAAACACCCAACTTAAGATATCCATGTATCCAACTGTTAATCAGATTTTATGGTAAGTTAACTCACAATAAAATCTAAACTCACATAAAATGTCTACTTATTGAGCTCCACATTTGTAGGGTGATATTCTGTTAAAAGACACTATTTAATAAGTTCTTGATTAACTTTTGTGATTACACATTGTTAAGAACCAAGTATTATTTAAAACTGGAGTGAAGCTGTTTGCTGCATGTGGTTAGGTTGAATTGAAGATAATAAAAGTAAATGCTACATTTATGATATTAATGGTACAATTTTTATATAATGTTTATAAGCCTCTTAAAAGGCTAATTAAGGATTTCACCTGCCTGACACTTTCCAATGCTTTTCTTATTAAGAACATTTTTCATTTCCTATCATCTTCTCTGTAAAGAGAATTGGGCTTCATCTCTGACCTACTTCATGTTTCCCAACATTACTGGGAAATTAAATATTTCTCTTTGTTTGTTCCTAGCAATGCCAATCAGAAACATTCCATTTCCATGTTAGTACTAGTTATAAATGAAATATTAAAGAAGTTTTCATGAGATACTACCTTGCACTGGCAATGACAACCAAGCACAACAAAACAGAAAACAAACAAATGTTGGAGAAAACAAAACAGAAAACAACACACACCTCATCCACAGCTGGTGGGACTCGCTATGGACAGCCACTGTGGGAAGTGATGTGGCACTACTTCACCCAACTAGGAGTAGAAATCCCAAACAACCCTCTGCTGAGTGTATGCCCGAAAGAAGAGTCAAAGCACCAGCTAACATATGCTCCCACGTTCTTTCACGGCAACACTGTTCACAATAGCAAGAACACAACCCAAATGCTTATCGGTAGAAGAATGGGTGAAGAACCGTTGGTACGTACACATGTGAAACCAGGAAGCACCTCTGGTATGTGTGAAGCTGGAGAACATTCTGCTGAGTGGATTTGGTCAATCACAACAGGAAGACTGTTGTAGGAGACCACAGCTACAAGGGAGG